CTATGTAAGATCTAAAACCAATGATAGTAATGAAGAAAGTGAAGATTGTGATCATAAAAGTGAAGATTTCTTATGCAATATAAAGGAAGAAGGAAGGGACAGTGACTTTTCTGGAGAAGATGATAAAAAATCGTCACACAACGAAGAAAAAGATGAAGATGAAGCCATGATTGAGGCAAAAATCGAGGTGGAATATCATGGGTTTGAATGTGATGAATCAGGGTGAGTTTTTTAGGTGATAATGTGTAGAAGTACTCATTTATTAAAAATATATTTTATATATTATATTATATTTTTAAAATTTTGTATTTTGAACATAAAAAGGTTTTTATGATTTTGATATCTAAACTTAAAATATAGTAGGCGAAAAATCACAAATTTCATAAAAAAGTAGATAAAATTTATCTACTTAGGTACTAATTTATCTACATTTAATGTGTATGACATGTGAAACTTACTTTTTTACAAAATTCCCAGGAATAACGTTGTTAAAACGATTTTTTGTTTTCAGTTTCAGTTTTTTTTAAATTATTCGGGAACCTCTGATTTCTTTTCCAGTTTTTAATAGTAATTTGTAATTAATAGACTAGTAATTACGTTTAATTTTATATCGGTTTTGAAATGTAAAATTAAATGTTTTTGTAGGGCTGACAGTGAAGTTGTAAATAAAGAAAAACCGGCGAAAAAAGTTCTTGCAAGAGCAGGAAAAGGTAAGTGTTTTTTTTTAATTTAAACTTTTCATCCACAGTACCTTAAGAAAGTTACATTTGGCCAAGAAAAAAAAAATACATTCTCAGATTTTTCTTTAATGTTAAAATTTGACTAAATTTTATTGTATTGCAAAATTGATAAATACATTTTTTTTTGAAAATTGAAAATTTTGGAAAGTTCGTTAATTTTTACTCACCTTATTGTAGTTTAATTATGTAGGTAAATTTATAAACACTTTAAATTTTACTGTTGAACTTATGAATTTAGTTTTTTAAAATAAATGTGCTTCATCAATATTTAAGTATAAACAAATTATTTATTTAATAATGTTTGTAAATAAAAAAATCTTAATATTTATTATTAATTTTTTATTTAATTATTAATACTGTCTATTACCAACAAAATACCTATTTATTAAAAAGTAAACAACCATTTACAAACAATTAAAATAATTTATTATTTACATTACCACGTGGTACTGTACAGTAAAAAATGGCCGATAAGAAGCATTTTCCTTTGAAGTAGTTTTCGCTACTTTTAAGTTTTTTCCACCTTAATTTACTTTACGGTAGTTTTGGTTAGTACCGTAAACGTTCCAAATACTAAAATAATAACTTTTAAGTTATTAACTTTGTAGTTTTTAACTCATGTTCCAGTTTCGAGATTTTAACTTGCAAAGGGACTACAAAGTAAAAATAATTATAATGTAATATTTAGGTAGAAACCGAAAGTAACTGCTACAAATTAAATTTACTTGAAAGTTTTTTTTTACTTATAACACCTTTTTTAAAGTTGCAAAGTCTTTTTGGGGGCAACCAAGTTTTACTTAAATGTTTATTACTTTATAGTAACCATTTAAGGAAAGAATTAAGTTTCTGTTACAAAATATTGCTTTTTAAAAGTTAGAATTACTTTTAAGTAAAAAATAAAGTAGCTGTTTAGTATAATTAACTAATTTAAAGTTATCACCACTTTGGTAATGATTTTTTGAACTAAAAATGCTGATTGTGTTCAATGTTTATGAATAAATTTTTACAGGATTCGGAAAAAAACCAGACTATGAGTGCAAGCAATGTTCAATTCGATTTTTCAAGAAACAATTATGGGTAAATCACGAGGAAGCTTGCTTAAAAGCAAAAGTTGAAGGCAAAGTAAAGTTGTTTGAATGTGATTTATGTCCCAAAAAATATCAAACAAAGAGTGGTTTGTACAGCCATAAACAGTATGTGCATAAAAAATATAAACAGGAACCATTTCAATGTGACATTTGTCCCAAGAAATATAAGACAAGGGAGGGTTTGGTTTATCATAAAAAATACGTTCATGAAAAAGACGAACACGAGCAGCTGAAATGCGGGCATTGTGCTTTTGTCACTGCCAACAGAGGTAATTTTAATAAACATTTAAAAATCCACGATAAAGACAAATATCTGAGATGTAATTTCTGCGAATTTATGACTGCGGAATTGACTAACTTAAATGCACATATTCTGAGTAGGCACAAATCGGAAAATGAAGGCGAAAAAAAAATAAAAATAACCAGTAAAATCCACCAGTGCGCTAAGTGTTCATACTCAACTGTTTTTAAATCGAGCTATGACACTCACATAAAGGTTTGCCTAAAATTGGAAAACGTACAACAATATGAATGTCACGTTTGTCACTACAAAACGATTCATAAATTTCACTTAAAAAGTCACATAAAAACCCATAACAAAACGAAAGAATTTAAATGTTTGTTTTGTCCGAAAGAAACCAACCAAAAATCTAATTTGGATAACCACATTCTAATCAAGCATTCAGATATGTTGAACGAATCAAATAGAAATATCATTACTTCCAAAGTTCATTCCTGTCAACACTGTAATTATAAAACTACGAATACCTGTGACTTAAAAAAACACTTAAATCACCATTAATAAATAATATTAATGTAATTTAAATTTGTGTCTAATTTTTAATAAATTATTACCATTTTTTAATTGTTTTTATTCACCCACTCATAATTTGTTATCTCCAATTTTTTACTATGTTTTAAAAGTCTAAAACCTATCCTCCGTTACTGTTACTCTTTCTAGGTTAACCTATATGTTTTCAAATATCTGAGGTAGTAAAAGCATACTAAAAATATCAGTTCACTAAGTAAATTAAACACATCCAAAGCAATCGAATCAAATATAAAATATTACTAAAAATTTAAAGAAATAATTTTTATAACCATTTATATAGGTGTCACAAAAATTGATTCTATCCTCCGTGAATCTGTTTTGCTTTAAATTTTATGCAACGGATGGCGCTTTAATCATTTTAAATAAGCAAAAACCTCTGTTAACGACATTATAGATGCATGTGATTCCTGAAGGTCAGTTAGAATTTACATGCAGATGAGAGTGTTGCTGTTTTATAATTCAAAAGTTTAAGTTCATTAATTTGCTTTTTAAAAACCTATCCACCGTGAAGTGTAATATCTCAGTAAGTAGATTTTTTTATAAATATTTTATGGATGTACAATTGTATTTTTCTTAAATATTAAGGTGTCAAAAGAAATCTTATTTTTTTCTTTCTTTTTCGATATTTTTGCCAAACCACTTTTAACAATTTTTTGTGGGAATATTGAGCAATTTTCATATATTTTTTTAACGAATTTTAAACATTGAAAATCTAATTTGACAACTTTAAACGTGTCAAAATAAATTACCGACTTAATTTTTCCTCTATAAAAAAAATTCTTTGGTTCCCATTCATTTAAAAAAGCTATAGTTATAGTACTTTTTGTTTTGGACGGCAATGCTCTCAATTTTCTCTTAAAAAATGTTGCTTGAAGACTTTTCCACTCATTACTTTATGGACAAATCAGATTTCAGAAAACGAGTAGTTTTTTTAGTTTTGCAGCGATAATAGTATAATAAAGAACTAATGTCATAAGACGTCATTTTGTCGCACGTGGACAATTTATAAAACGAGTTCTTTATGCTATTTTATTTTTATTTTGTAAAAATTCTATAAAAAAATTAATTTTATACCTTAAATTTAATTTGGTCGAATTTTACTTTAGATAGTTGGTATCACAGTCATTGGTTTGACAGTTAATGTCAAAATCGATTCGCCATGCCGTCCTTAATTTACTTATTTGCAATAAGCGGCTGTTAATGTTAAAAAAGAAGAAAAATGATTTTCTTTGGTGTTAAACAAAATTGATTGCCAGAAAAGTCTCGTAAGTACTAGAAAATCATAAAAATATTATAACCAATATGCAAAACATTATTCTGTTTAAAGTATAGCCAACCTATAAAAACAAAATTTTGGGTGGGATAAAGTATCTCATTACAGCACCGAAAGCGGTGTTATAATGAAGTCATTATGAACGCAAAATAGATAAAACTAATTTTTAAATTTGGATTCTACACCTTTTCGGTTGTTTTGGACCACTGTACGGTGTCTGGTTGTCAGTATGCAACACAGATTACACAACATGCTAGTATTCCAAAGGGGTTGAGATATGTCAAAAATCAGTGTAAAACTACTTATATTGTATAGATTGGTCACTAAAAACAACCATACCGTTGAAAATACGATTTTTGCTATCAATCTTTCATGAAAGTACGAAGCTCATAACATTATTTTTAAAATTTTACTTTTGGACTTCTAGTATGTACTTTCCTCAATTTTCAAACAATTTAAATCTTTGATGAATATTGAACATATCCTAGAAACAGATGTCGTAATTCTTGACAAATCTGTTATGGGTTATAATATCGTGACGTCACCATACGCAGTATACACAGATTATATTTTGTTTTACAATTGAGAAGGTAGGCAACACATGTTACTTGATATATGTAAAGTTCGAAAAGAATTGCAATTCATGGAAAAATAATAAATTTAAAGTAATTTTGCAATTACCAGCGAAATTTCGGTATTAATATATGATTTTATTGATATAAAATGTTTAAACCTGTTAATACATATTAAAACAATGTCTATTAACTTATAATGTAATGTCTATTAACTTATAATGTAATATTTATTAAATAAGTATTAAAAAACCTTATTTTTACTTTATAAATAAAAAAAATAAAAAATTGTGGATGAATAACATATAATTATTGATACATTCCAAAGGAAATGGGAAATAAATATAGCAAAACACTTGTTTTTTGTACAGGGAGGCGTATACAATATATTTAAACAATTTTCACTATCTACGGGGTGTTTTAATGAATGTTTGTTATAACAATATCCCAAAGAATTTCTGTTAAATAAAATATAAAGTTTATAAAACTTCAAGCAACTTTGTAAGCAATTTTACTTAACTTAAGTAACTTATTGACCCGACCTTGTACAACTGCATCCTAAAGTGGCTTTAAAAGAACAGGTAAAATCTTAAAACACGGTAATTATTTCAAAATGGCCGCGCATCGGAATGCGTGAGTCTAACAGTTATATTTCTTTGATTTTTTTCAAGAAAAATCACCAAAAAACGATTTTCAAGTAATATTAACGTGTTTCGAGTTTTTTCGGGAGTGTTTTGTTTTCTTTCGGCAGCGTTTTGTTTGAAAGAAGCGGTGATTTCAATAGTGGGTTAAAGGTTTTGTTTTTTTTGTTGTTGAAAAATGTTGGTTTTTGGCGATATTTTGGTTAAACTTTAGTTATGAAAAAAGGTTGATGCGGTTGTGCAGTTTAGTAATATGTCTCATCGAGATTTTACTGAGGTGAGTACGAAAAATTATGTAAAAATATATTTTAATCTTTAAAAAAGTTTTTTTATTGCAAAATATTTTAAAATGACTTAAAATCAGCAAAACAAAAAATACAAATATTATTATATAATATTCTTGTAGACAACATAAAATCCTTTAAAATGATATGCAACAACCCATACTTTCCATAAAAAATAACAAATATAACCAATGTAGTAATTTTTAATTTATAAAGTCATAAATAAAAATTGCACATTTTTTTGTAGGTGGAGCCTGAGGGCACATCTGAACTACCGGCGGCAAGCCGAACCTTATTCCTGGAAAAAGTAATCCAACCAACTAAAAAATAACGTTGTCGTTACTATACGGTAATTTTTAGGTTAGGCAGTCAAACGCCGCATGTCAAAATGGGGATTTTTCTACAGCTGTTGCTTTATACACCGACGCATTGCAGCTGGACCCAACCAATCACATTTTATACTCCAACAGATCAGCTGCGAAGCTAAAGCAAGGGCTTTTCGCCCAGGCTCTACAAGATGCTGTTACAGCTAGGGATCTGTGCCCTACGTGGCCCAAAGCATATTATAGACAAGGGGTAGCTTTACAATGCATGGGTCGCCATGGCGACGCCTTGGCAGCCTTTAGTCAAGGTTTAGCACAAGATTCAACCTCAAAACAGCTTTTGTCAGGCCTTGTGGAAGCCTCTATTAAGTCACCTCTAAGGCACAACTTGGAACCTACTTTTCAGCAGCTAGAAATCATGAAGTTGGATTCCAGTCCTTTCGTGTTAATATCCGTAGTCGGTCAGGAATTATTGGCGGCCGGGTTGTATCACAGCGCAGTCACAGTGTTAGAATCGGCGTTAAGAATAGGTTCGTGCTCTTTAAAACTACGCGGGTCAGTTTTTAGCGCGTTAAGTTCAGCGCATTGGGCTTTAAATCAATTGGATAAAGCGATAGGGTAAATATAACACCTAATTTGATCTAATGAGTCAATTTTAGTGTTTCTTGATACGTCACACCATATAGCTAAAACAATGTATAGTAATAATTACCACCAAGTTACCTTCTCTAATAATCATCCTACATATGGAGTGCGACACATCAAGTCACCCTAAAATAAACCAACTTGGTGATTACCACAGCAAAATTTTGTTTTAGTTACATGCAGCAAGATCTAGCCATAGCAAAAAGCCTAGGGGACACTCCTGGCGAATGCAGGGCTCACGGTAATCTAGGTTCCGCCTATTTCAGTCAAGGTTCCTACAAAGAAGCTCTGACAGCGCACAGATATCAATTGGTTTTAGCAATGAAATGCAAGGTTTGTTATAGAATATAGTATATGTCTCGGTGGTTAAATTTACTTAATTTAGGATACTCAAGCGGCTGCAGCAGCTTTGACGTCGTTGGGACACGTTTATACAGCAATAGGGGATTACCCCAATGCATTAGCGTCACATAAACAGTGCGTCCAGTTGGTGAAGCAAATGGGTGATAGGCTACAGGAAGCCAGAGAAATAGGTATGTTTGTGCTTGTTATTTTTTTTACAAAAATAACTTTGTGGTATTTTTTAGGTAATGTTGGGGCTGTTTATTTGGCAATGGGTGATTTTGACTCAGCAGTTGATTGTCATACACAGCATCTTAGAATTGCTAGGAGATTAGGAAACCAGGTTGAAGAAGCCAGAGCTTATAGTAACTTAGGCTCAAGTCACCATTACAAGAGGAATTTTGCGCAAGCCATAGTGTATCACGAAAAAGTTTTAAGATTAGCGCAAGCTATAGGCGATAAATCTGTAGAATCTCGGGCATATGCCGGCCTTGGTCATGCCGCTAGGTAACCACGACTTTATAGTAAAACTTACTATCAATAATATTTTTTACTAATTTTAGATGTGCTGGAGACTACATACAATCCAAACAATGGCACGAAAGACAGCTTGATGTAGCTCTATCAACAAGAGACAAAATCGGCGAAGGTAGAGCCTGCTCAAACCTAGGAATTGTGTATCAGTTATTAGGTAAATTTGACTGAAAATAAAGCTTAGTCAGCTCATTGCAGTCAGACTTGATATGTCACACTATACCTAAAAATAAAAATAACCACGAAGTAACTATTACCAAACATCACTTAAACTATATAGTGCGACATATCAATCCTCACTAGAATTGTCAAATTTAACCAAATTCATATGTTTTAGGTGAATATGACGCCGCTCTAAAACTCCACCAAGCCCACTTATCCATCGCGAGAAATCTTCAAGACAGGGCCGGCATGGGTAGAGCATATGGCAACATTGGAAACGCTTATTCCGCGGCTGGTTTCTACGAATCCGCCATTAAATACCACAAGCAAGAATTAACTATAAGTAAAGAAGTGCACGATCGTAGCTCTGAGGCTAGTACGCATGGCAATTTAGCGGTTGCCTATCAAGCCCTGGGGGCGCACGATATGGCGTTGTTGCATTATAGGGCGCATTTAGGTGAGTGAATTTGGAATAATTGGGTTTTTTTAGTGTGGTTTGATGGGTCGCACTATATATGTAAAATGATGCTTGGTAATAATTACTTTTCGGTAATATTGCTCATTTTTTGTTTTACGTATGTGGTGCGACACATCAAGTCAGGGTAGTTTTTACTGGAAATACCAAAATTGTAGGTATAGCAAGAGAATTGAAAGATACAGCTGGTGAAGCTTGTGCACTATTAAACTTGGCGAACTGTCTGAGCTCTAGATCCGAGTTTAACGAAGCAGTTCCATACTATGAGCAATATTTAATGTTATCGCAAGAATTATCAGATGTTGAAGGTGAAGCCAAAGCCTGTCATTTCTTAGGTTATGTACATTATTGCATCGGTAACTATAGGGAAGCAGTAAGGTATTATGACCAAGATTTGGCCTTAGCTAAGGATTTACAAGACAAAATGAATATGGGGAGAGCTTACTGCAATTTAGGACTGGCACATTTAGCGTTAGGACAGCTGGAGACATCTTTGGAGTGTCAAAAATATTTTTTAGCTATTGCACATATGATTAACAACTCCTCAGGCAAATTTAGAGCACTAGGAAACATAGGAGACGTACTTATAAAGATGGACGAAATTGATGAAGCCATTAAGATGTACCACAGACAATTAGCCTTGGCAAGAACAAACAGAGATCGTGCAATGGAGGCGGCAGCTTGTGGGTCTCTCGGAATAGCCCATAGATTACTTAAAAGGCTCGATAAAGCTCTGGGCTTCCATACGCAAGAGTTGACGTTGTGTCAGGAAATGTCTGAACTCGCTGGCGAGTGTAAAGCCCATGGGAATCTAGGTGTAGTGCATATGGCGTTGGGAAACTACACACACGCCGTCAAATGCTACCAAGAACAACTCGAAAGAGCACAAGAATTGCAAGATTGTGCCGTTGAAGCTCAAGCCTATGGAAATTTGGGTATTGCAAGGTAATTTTGGCTTAATTGGAAAATTATAGTGTTACTTCATGTGTCACACTATGCACTTAAAATGAAAAACAAAAAATTACTATAAAGTAATTATTACCAAACTACTTATTTACCATGGAGTGTGACACATGAAGTAACACTATTTTTGATCGGAAAAACCAAATCTTACCTCAAAATTTATCCACAGATTAAACATGGGCCATTACGAGGACGCTATAGGCTATTTCGAACAGCAATTAGCAACTTTAGAGCGACTTAACACAGCTACAGCCCAACTGGACAAAGGTCGTGCTTTTGGTAGCCTGGGCGACTGTTACGACGCTCTAGGGGACCCAGAAGAGGCTTCCAAATGTCACGAACAATATTTGGCTATTAGCTTGAAGCTAAAAAGTGCTAGGGATCAAGAAAGGGCGTATAGGGGCTTGGGACAAAGTCAAAATTACATGGGGAATTTGCAGCAAGCTTTAGTGTGTTTGGAGAAGAGGTTGGTTGTTTCACATGAGTTGGGAAACCCTGAAGCTAAAGCTGCAGCTTATGGTGAATTGGGGCAGCTGCATGCTACGTTGGGAAATTTGGAACAAGCCGTATCTTGTTTTGATCATCAAAGAAACATCGCAAGAGATTTGAGTAAGTTATTTTTTAACTTTTAGTACCTAACTTCAAAGTAAATTTTACCTTGTAGATGATAAAATAATGGAGTCAGACGCTCTCGGCGGTTTGGGGAACGTCTACCATCAAATGGGTGAGTACGCTACGGCTTTGCGATACCATCAAAATGACTTGGAGGTCGCGGAACAGTTAGGCATGGCAAATCTGCAAAGTAGAGCCTTGGGTAACTTGGGTTCGGTGTATGAAGCCCTGGGAAACTACGAACAAGCCGTAAGGTACCAAGAACAACACCTACAGATAGCTGCGACCACAAACGACCAATTAGCGAAAACTTTGGCGTATAGTTCGTTGGGTAGAGTGCATCAACTTTTGGGTAATAGGCAGCAAGCTGTGGCGTACTTAACTCAAGGTTTGTGCATCGCTGAAGCCTTAGGAAGACGGGAAGAAGAGGTAAGTTCAAAAATGAGAATTTTACGCTTTCGTCGGTATTTTTGTCTTAATTGGCTTGTTTTGGTGTGATTTGATGTGTACCACTATACAGAAAAAATGAAAAGTAAGAAAAATAACCACCAAGTAATATTTCTTGTTTTTGGTTTAAAATATATAGTGCGACATATCATTTCACACTAAAATTAACCAGAAAGATCAAATTTGAGATAATAATAACATATTTACTTACAAGGCAAGAATAAGAAACAGACTGGGTCTTGCTTTATGGTCTAACGGCGATTTAGAAGGTTCCCAAAAACAACTTGAAGTAGCCACACATTTACTAGAAAATATACGACGCGAAACAAGAAATACGTCGGAATACAAATTATCACTATTCGAGCTACAATCGTCGAGTTACCAGGTTTTACAGCGGGTTCTGATAGGTCTAAATCGGTCAGAAGAAGCCTTATTGGTAGCGGAAAGAGGCCGCAACAGAGCGTTTGTAGATTTACTGCTGGAAAGACAAGGTATGACCGAAATAAAAAGCAAACACAAAAATTGCAAAATAGACGATGTTACACCGAATAATATCGACCAAATCAAGGATATTGTTAATAGACAACGCGCGTCAGTGATATATTACAGCATAGCTGCGGGATTTTTGTATGGATGGTTGATAACACCCACAAAAGGTTTGTACAGTTTTTGTTGTCATAAAAATGCCTTAGTTGGTCAATTTTAGCCTTACTTCATGGGTCGCACTATACACTTATAACGAGAAATAACGAAAAACAAAACAACATCGAACTTACACAAACATCACTTAAACATATTAGTGCGACCCATCAAGTAACACTATTTTTCACCAGAAAGGCCGAAAATGACAAAATAATAACCATATCTTTAATATTACAGGTGTTGTCAAATTTCATTCGGTTTCCCTGATGGATTCCGAATCCGACGGTAATGATGGTACAGATCCTATACCATCCGGCACAGGGTTGCTGGAAAAATTGGTGAATTCGGTCAGGGATAGTTTGGGGTTGGAGATATCGCCCTGCACAACGATTAATGAGGATCAGTACTCTGATGAGACTTTGTCTGAAAGAACAGGGTTCTTACGAATGGTAAATCGGCAACATTTAATGAACTCCAGCAATTACTCCTTGAGTTCGTTGTTTTCGCTGGGGAGCGTAGGGGGGTCGGTGGCCTCTCTACAGGGCAGCACAAGATCTAGCGCTAGTATACAAGGTAAGATTTACGTGAAACGTTTAAAAACGTAAAACCGGTAAATCGCCGGTTAGCCGGTAGATTTACCGGTTTTGTGTTTTTTGGACGAAATAGGTAATTTTCAACAAACCGGTAAATCGCCGGTTAGCCGGTAAATTTACCGGTTTTGTGTTTTTTGACGAAATAAGTAATTTACAACAAACCGGTAAATTGCCGGTAGATTTACCGGTTTTGTGTTTTTTGGACGAAATAGGTAATTTGCAACAAACCGGTTTTACCGGCTTTTTCAATAGGTTCTACCAGAGTGACAAAGCGTCAGACATGGAAAGGTCCTACATGTCTGCATGCTCTTTACACGATGCTTTTACAACCGTTTGAAGAGTATTTACCGGTTAAGGGGGGTTCGTCAAAGGAAAATTCTGGGAAAAGGGAGCTTATTTTGGTGTTGGAAAGCGATTTGTTTTTGGTACCGTTTCCCGTACTGAGATCATCGAACGAATCCTCTGAATATTTATGTGAGAGATTTTCTTTGATGGTTGTGCCGAATTTGTCGTCTCTAAGAAGCAATAGGATGAGAAAAGGCGAGCAAAGGGATCAAAACGTTAAGAGTCTTATTGTTGGGAACCCCAAATTGCCCAACACAGTGACTGAACATTGGGGATGGAGAGATATACCACAGGTATTTATTATTCTTTATAAAACTGTCATTCCAACAATATTTTTATTATTGTTTTAGGCTGAACATGAGGCTACAATGATAGCTGAACTATTACAAACGCAAGTTTTGGTGGGAACTAACGCTACGAAAGAACAAGTTTTAAACCAAATACAAGAAGCAGAGTGTGTTCACTTTGCTACACATGTTTCTTGGAAACTTTCGTCTTTGGTACTCTGTCCTGCAGAGGTATGTATAATATACTCTAAAATGAAAAATAATAAATAAAAAATGTTTCTTAGGTGTTGGATCAAAGCCAAAATAAAAGATTGTACATCACGGACTCAAATGAAGACGACGAGGGTAGTGAGGTTGAAACCTCAAGTGCTGAAATTCCACCTTTATCGGAATTTTTACTTAGTGCTGCAGATATATTATCGTTGAAGTTATCAGCTAGATTGGTTGTGGTGAGTATTAACAACACTACGATAGTTTTACAAACATTAAGTACTCCAGCTTGGTTTAACTAATTTTGGACCGCTGATTTCAAAAATGTCATTAGCTTTTCTCTAGGATGTTTTTACCCAAATTAAGCCCTCAAATATTAATACATTGCATAATATTGCTTTTTTCTACCTTAAATTTATTAAATCGTATCAAATATCAAATTGGATTATAATATTATTGTGCTTAATCCTCATCATCGTCGTACATCTTTTGCTGCAAATTCCAGCAAATGTCTCCTAGCAATGAATCCAACTTCTTTCCGCTATACCCATAGATATCTGCCAATGCTCTAGATTTGCAGTTACTTGGTGAAATCGTTCTCCATGTTCATCAGTTCGGCAAATTTATCAGGATGAAAAAAAAAGAAAATGTATTTTAAATAACATATTAACGCTAATTCTTTGCAAAACATAAAGCATTTTTTCAATGAATTGGCGCCAATTTAAGGCCCGATATGAACCAAGAACATTTTAAATGACAGCTTTAACGCTGCCATATGCAACAAGCTCGTCAACTTTGAGAGCATTTTTGAATGCTTGATCTTTCATTAAACGTCGTATATCAGGTCCATTTAATATTCCTGCAAAATTAAAGTAGTAGATATATGTCATAAAATTTTGTAATGAAATATTGCGTTGGTTTTTCTTGGGCGTAAAGGTACCGCAACAAAAACAAAACAAATTTACAACGACGACATAAAGGTTCGTCTCCTTTCTCTTTCTCTTCCACTTCCATTTCCTGCTATTTTTTGCATTTTTGGTTCTTAAAATCACTTTCAAGTAAAAATACAATTTAAAGTTTAAATTTTAAATGTCAATAATTAATAGATGCACTTTAGTGTGCTTGAACGATAAAGTAGGTAAAGGCGCCTTTATACTTCAATTCAATTTTAAATTTTGATAAGACTTAAGAAATAAGATTCAAGATTAAATTTTTGGGTACTTCAGGCATGATGTGAATAAAAACATATCAAATAATGAAGAGTAATGCTTATACCGAAACCCATTTACTTTGTTGCCTTTACAATTTAATTAGTAATTAAAAAAACGACACAAAAATTTCAAAAAATGATACTTTTTACCAAAAAACATTATGATTTTAGTTTTTGTATTTAATAAAGCACTTCTCTGCAGAAAAGTGCGTTATTAAATATCCCTTATATAATACTACTATAGTATACGCCTACAAAGGAAACAAAAAAATTCTATTTGACATTTATCTACCGATGACTTTGTATGGAGTCCCTGTATATTTTTGACAAAAAACGTCAAAAATATACTGAACATCCAAAATAGATTTAAGGCAAAATAATTTAATAAATAATCAAAATATTAACAAAAAATTAATCCTAGACGTCCTGGAGCAAAACGAGTGGCATTTTTGAAATCAGCAGCCCAAAATTAGGTAATATAGGTGGGCGTACTCAATGTTAGTAAATCGAAATATTACACCATGAATAAACATTACATATCCACACAATTCGCAAAAAAAAAATCGACCCGATACCTCACGTCAATCCGAAGATATCAACTAAAAACCAAAATGACATTTCAGGTGAGTTCCTCTCATACTAGGGATTCACAGGGTTGGGCCACTTCGGATGGTCTAGTAGCCTTAGTGAGAGCCTTATTGGCCGCCGGGGCCCAGGCCGTCTTAGTTTCGCTATGGCCCGTACCAGATACGGCCACCAAAATACTTCTTCGAGCATTTTATTCCGCCATGTTACAAGGGACTAGAGCAGCAAGGTAAGTTTTCTTTTTCTCCCTTCAAAATTGGTTTTGTTTATATAATTTATTGTGTAGGGCTTTGGCAGAAACGCGCAAAAACGCAAAACCGGTAAATCGCCGGTTAGCCGGTAGATTTACCGGTTTTGTGTTTTTTGGACAAAATTATTAATTTACAACAAACCGGTAAATCGCCGGTTAGCCGGTATATTTACCGGTTTTGTGTTTTTTGGACAAAATTATTAATTTACAACAAACCGGTAAATCGCCGGTTAGCCGGTAAATTTACCGGTTTTGTGTTTTTTGGACAAAATAAGTAATTTACAACAAACATATAATTTATTGTGTAGGGCTTTGGCAGAGGCAATGCAAACAGTGCAGCACACGAAGCATTTCGCGCATCCTGCCAATTGGGCAGGTTTCGTATTGATAGGGCTGAATGTCAGGTTGAGTAATAAGGTAAATAAACTTAAAACACAACAATACGTCACACTCATCAACAATTCATATTTTTTTTAAGGTCGCTTTAATGGGACAGGCGTTATGTGAACTTCTACAAGTTCCCGAAAAATGTAGGGATGCTCTTAGAGTTACTCTGCATTTAGTGGAAAAAAGTTTGCAGAGGATTCACAGAGGACAGAAGAACGCTATGTATACCACACAAAAATCCATTGAAAATAAGGTAAATATGACATTTTGTCCACAGTAAATTTTGGGCCGCCACTGGTTGTTCCTGACCTGTGACTACTTTGTTGATAATTGTTCTATTTTTAGGTACTTTGAATAAAACAATACTTACTTTCTATTGTCAGGTATCTCGAGGTTTTCCGTAGTTTTCCAGTCCATTTTAAATTTCACCTTTCACTTTTTACGTCGATTGATGCTCATGTAGCTATTTTTTTAAGTGTTCCACAAAATCACAATAAATGTGAAACGAAATAAATTTTCATAATTTTTCGGGTTATGATAGCCATTTTATTAATTAAGATATGTCGAATTAAACTATTACAATAACATTGCTGTTGAGATAATCCACGTCGAAAGTTAATAGTAAAAAAGTAATGACACGTAAATTTTACATTTTTAGTAGAGATAATTTTTAAAAGCCACTCTAACGTACTATGTTCTACACCCAAAAGTCCCACCACGTAACTTTGATACAAATAATTGAGTACGTACGTTAGAGTGGCTTTTAAAAATTATCTCTACTAAAAATGTAAAATTTACGTGTCATTACTTTTTTACTATTAACTTTCAACAGCAATGATATTGAAATATCTTAATTAATAAAATGGCTATCATAACCCGAAAAATTATGAAAATTTATTTAGTTGAACATTTATTGTGATTTTGTGGAACACTTAAAAAATAGGTACATGAGCTTCAAGACTAGTTGTCACATTTTATGTAGCAGCTAGTGCTGGTGCGCGTTAAGCTCTTGTTACCATGTTTAACATTTTTTTAAGGTTGGATCGGTAGTTGGCTGGAAAGAGCTGCTGATGTCTGTTGGATTCAGATTCGAGCCAGCTTCCAATGGTATACCGAGTAGTGTCTTCTTCCCTCAGTCGGATCCAGATGAGAGGTTAACGCAGTGTTCGGCTAGTCTACAGGCTCTGTTAGGACTAACGTCCACATCGATATACGCCCTGTCCAAACTAACATCCAACGCTGATGTTGCCGACGATATCATAGCAGTGATACAGTCGGCTTTGTCGCAATTTTCATCCAAAAACATCGATAGTGATAGTGTGGATGTGATGCTCAACGTCAGGTAAGTTTAAGATGTTAAAAAAAAGGGAAGAAGAACCTTTTTTTAGGTTACCAGGGTCCAAGAACTAATAAAATACAACAAAAATATGCATCTAAAAATTCATCTCAAATTTTTTCTTCAAACTAAGTTTTATCAATACCTTTTAAAACCTTCCACACCAAAGAACACTCTACACCTTCGCTACTCATCAGAGTTTGAGTTGGACTTTCTTTTGGCATCTTTTTGCCTCCCTTTTGTAGAAGGGGCCCTTCCACACAGCCTGTGTTGACCTTAAAGGCTAAATGCAGAGTTCAAAAGATGGTAATCCCTCCACCACTAACTTTCCTGTTAATTTATCCTCAATGTCATTAAGTTGTTGTATTGCCATTCTCCATGTAAGAAATACTAGGCATTCCTTGCCCTTTTACTTTCATGGTCCTTCAAGTCACTAAAAGTCCGTAAAAATAATTCACAAATATATATTTTAAAATATTTTAAGATTATTCTTTTCTATTTAAGGATGGACTTAATGGCCCCGCCAGAAGATGTGTTTTTTTGTCTAGTTCAGCAGTATTTTTAGAGTTTGTGGATTTTTTAAAGTTCATTTTATATATTAATTATCACCAATGATTTTTTAAATAATTATTTAGGACAATTTTACGATATGCGACTTTTAGGTTATAAACCTAAGATACTCTTTGTCCTAGAAACGTTTATTTAAACATATGAGAAACAGAATACCTTTAAACAGGTGATGTTTGGGTTGTCGTTGTGTAGACATACATGTTAAGAAATCAATCAAACAGCAAGAAAGGGAATAGGCCATGGTTTTTCAGATGCCAAGTGGACATTCATAAGGTTTTTGGCATCCAAAGGGTTTCCTGTTACGTCAAAATATTCTTTCGAACAGATAAACAGACCTGCGTCATCTTCTTCTCCACAGTAGACGTAGTCGGCTGTTTTTTCCCTCCCACAGTAAGATAGAAACTTACTAAAGTTGTCGTGTCCAGATGAAGAAAAATCTAGTAGTTTAGAAGCTAAGATCCTTTTTATAAAGTTACTTGATGTATCTTGATCTTGGCACACTAAATCTTCATCGGGCGGAAGTAACGTACTATTTTTTTAGGTTATGGAGGGTACCAGGTTGTCATGAACTTTTGGCCTCACTAGGTTTTGACCTTATTGACGTGGGTCAAGACATGGTGACATTACGAACGGGTAAACAGGCGAACAGAAGGAACATACAGTTCACTCTGCAAGCGTTGTTAGCATTATTTGGTAAGTTGAGTGGAGGGGGGTGTGGTGTCAGTCTTATCTTGCATTTTAACCCTCCAGACACCCAGGAGGCGCCAAAAAGCCTGACGATAGACTCCTCGAGCAGCCTGGAATCTCTCGCCTCGGTTGATAACGATTTCTCGCATTCCGACAACGAGTTGAACATGGTGGCATCCACGCCCAACATAACCAACAAACCTGTGCCGAAAATACCGCCGCCGTTTACGCGCGCAGTGCTGCCAAAACAACGGTTAGGAGGCGCGTTTACTTCGTACGTGAGGAGGAGGGGGGAACCCGATGGTAGAACTGCTCTTCCAGGGGACAACAAGTTGACAATGGACTCGAAATGTATGTATAGCACATTTATACCTTTTGGGCTAATAGTTTCGGAGATATTAATTATTGAAAGTGGAAAATTTATAGTTTTTAATAATGTTTTGATGTTTTATACTTTTTAATAAAAAAAATTTAGTGGGGTTTTGATAAAATTAAAAAGTGTTTCATATTTTTTGTTATTTGTTTAATACATAGGTATATGTTATATATTATATAATTTGTTTGCTTTTTATTTTCAATTCATTTTTTTTTTTAAGTAAAATTTGTTTCTCGTAATTACTGGGTGATTCCATATAAGATTGGTTGAACATATATATATATATTAGGGTGTGCCAAAAAAACTCGATATTTTTTTTTCTTGCTCTCCACCCAAAATATCGTAGAATATGTCCGAACAAATATCCTGTTAAAATTGTAAATTTTAATGGTTGACAGTACATCAAATTTTTATTAGGACAATTTTTCCGAAAATTCAATTTTTTTATAATTCTCTATTGACTTTTTGTGCTAACATTAATATTTCACCAACAAAAAGTTAATAATACAAAAATGATGACTTTATACGCCTGCAACTTTTAGAATATGGACGATAAAAAAAATTCGCCTAAAACTTTTTTGTGGTCCATCAGATAAGCTAAAAAATTGCCATTTGACTTTTTCGTCTAACTTCAATAGTTTAGCTGAAAAAGGCAAAAAACATAAAATTTTAAATTTAAAGCTCTGTAAAAAATCAAATAATGAAAATAGAAATTCGGCTTAATAAGATTTTTTCGTCCAAATTTAATGCTTTGTAAGATTTGGTCATGGATTTTATGAACAAAAAATTTCTTCCTAGGTTGCAAGAATAAATAAGGTAAAAAAGTCAGTTTTCTGTGCTATTTAAGCGGCAAAACTTCAGATTCGATGAAGGACCTCTTAAAATTGAAATTATGAGCTCCGCTTTTAACAGAATATTTGTTCGGACATATTCTACGATATTTTGGGTGGAGAGCAAGAAAAAAATATCGAGTTTTTTTGGCACACCCTAATATATATTTTGTAACGTTTTTAACTGTTCGTAGTGTGAATTAAAACACACACTGGTTAATTAACGAACTAAACTATTTATTTAATAACTTAACTACACTTAAAACACTATAAAACTAACTAAACACTTAACTACTAATTATTTATATCACTACTAGTTTATTTATTTGCACTTATATTTATTTATTTCTTCGCGAGTACCAAAGCTCAACTGACTCTCCATGAAGCGCCGTTCCTTATATATTACAGCGCCTACGTCTTCTGGAACATTCCAGCGAGCTCCACACTCTCGATTATTCGAGCGCTGAGTCACCGGCGATGACTCATCGGCGATGAGTCATCATTCCGAGATCCAGAGCCGTACTCGCTACAATATATTAACCCTAAAAGTTTTTTAATCGAGCTGATATTTTGACAGGGCTCTTACAGCATGATAAACTAACATATGTTTGCAAGAGACGAGAAAAAAAAAATATTATTTTTTTTTGGGCCACCCTAATATATATATATATAAAATCACACATTTTTTTCTTTCAGTAGCTAAAAGGAATACATTAAGCAGACCTGGTGGAGGGGAAAGTGATGCTGCTTTCACCCCGAGTCCCCCTATAGTGCTGCAAAGTGACAACCAAAATATAGCATTGTCACTGGCGCACCAAACTAGAATAAGGAATTTATATTCGCAAAACGAATCCAAGGAGAAGAGACCGGACAGTTCGAGCAGCGCAAGCAGCGCCACAGATTGGGACAACGGCCATGCCACCGTACTAAGACGGCAAAACCAAAACCAGGTTAAATATCGATGTTATTGCGGTTTAATTTGGTACTAAATGTGCATTTCAGATTCCTCCGTTGCCGCCTCCCCGCACAAAGCCGCTGGTGGACCTTCCGCTGTACAACAACCTGCCGGCGGGTCTGTTCGAGAACAGCTCGGACTCTGAGTTGGAGAAAATGGAGGCGAAGCTGTTCTCCACTGCGAACAGACCGAAGATATCGTACAAGAAGTCCAGGAATCAGAACGCCTTGTGCACGCTGGACAGGCTCAGCGTTAGAACGGAGTTCTTAGGCGCTAGCACTAGCAGCTTGCTGGCGGGAACGAGTCAAAGTGGTGGCAACGGTAGAAAAACCGTCACGCTACCGAGCGAAGAGACTTTGCCTACAAACGAACGACTGTTATACTTCTCGCCCAATGAGATTAAAGACGCTTCGGCCAGCAAGTCTTGCGACAATGAAGAGGTGAGTTTATTTTTTAATTGTAGGTAAAGTTCATTTTTCAGATGAGTAAAATCATATAAAAAAGTAGTTAAATATAGGTGACTACGGCCCAGGAGAGACAAAATATTCCTAGCGGATAACAAAGTCATTCCTCATAAAATCTCCTGCTTATTTAAAGAATTACATTCTTATACAAAAATTCTGAATTAAATGTACAGGGTGTTCAGAAATCGGGAAAACGTGCAAATTCTTCGAAATGTTAAAAAAACATATTGTTAACTCAATTTCCAAAATGACTACGTCGTATTAGATTATTCGATAAAAATCGCACAGTAGTATAAATTATAAAAATGGTAGGACAAATTGGCACAAGTTTTTTCTTTAAAAAAGAACATTATCAATAATATATATTTTTTTGCAAAATTTGGGAATTTTAAAATTTTTAAAATTTAATAAAATTTTTAAATATTTTAAAAATTTAAATAATTTTTTGGAATTATTTTAATTTTTAAATTTACTAAATATTTAAAAACTTTAATTATTTTGAAAATTTTGGATGTTTAAAAAATTACGGAAATTTTAAAAATTCTGAAAATTTCGGAAAATTTGGAAATTTTAAAAATTCTTAAAAAAATTTTAAAAATCCTTTCCAAACATTTAAAATTCTGAAAGTTTCGGATGTTTTAATAAAATTTTTAAATATTTTGAAAATTTAATAAATTTTGGGAATTATTGAAAATTTTTTAAATTTACTAAATAATTAAAAACTTTAATTATTTTGAAAATTTTGGATATTTTAAAAATTAGCGGATAATAATTGGGGCTGTACAATTTAGCCGGTTAAGCCGCCAGCTAATTAGCTAAGCTAATTTAGTTAACCGGTTAAATTAGTTAAGCCGATCAGTTAGCTAGCTAATTAACTATAGCTAACTTTTTTAGCCGGCTTAACAGGCTAAATTGTACAATCCAATTCAATTGGATTGTACAATTGGGCCAATTGTTTCCCTCCAAATCATTTTGTTGCATAATTTTATCAACAATATCTTTTTCTTCCAATATGTGTTCATTTTCATGTATATTAAAAACTTAGATTCTATTATTTCGTAAAATTGGTTTGATAACTTCGTAATCTTCACCCGTTTTGGTTTGTATTACATTTTGAATATCTTCTATATGTTTATCCCTATCACAATTTAGTAGTAACCCACAATCCACACAACAAGGTCTGTTCTATCTCGTACTAAAAATACAAAAAATTACTGCAACACTGCACAGTTTAACGGCGGCCATTTTTGTTGTTTACAATTTTTGTGCTTTAGGTTTGTGCTGTTTAATAATTGTTTTAAACGTTGGGTTTCTTACAGAGGCACTTGTAAGCCTCAAATAGGGCCTTTAAGTGCCAAGGACAACCATTTTACTCCTCTTTTATAATAAATATACCTTATTCTATCAGGTCTGTCAAATGACAATTTGAAGGTTAATTCGTGGGTTATAATTTAACCTTAAAATTGACATTTGACAGTTTTATGACAGGCCTGATAGAATAAAGTTTATTTTGTACAATAGAGGAGTAAAATGGTTGTTCTTAGCACTTTAAGGCCTCTTTTAAGGCTTACTATGAGAAACAACGTTTAAAACGATTATTAATCTGTATAAACAGAGCACAAACCCAAAGCACAAAAATTGTAAACAACAAAAATGGCCGCCGTTAAACTGTGCAGTGTTGCAGTAATTTTTTGTATTTTTAGTACGAGATAGAACAGACCTTGTTGTGTGGATTGTGTAGTAACCCACCATTTTTAACCTTTTTCCCTATTGTTAGTCCTGTTTGAATTTTTGCTGGTTTAGCTTTCTTAATAAGATCTTCTTGTGTTTTAATGTCATTTTTGGGCATGGTGTAATTTCTGTTAATATTTGTGGATTGGCCTTGTTGATTTGTATTTTTTAGTTCAGCAATCTCTCTTTTAGGTTAATGTTTTCCTCTATTATTTTATCTAGTTTTTCATTGGTTAACCTATTAGAATCGACAATTCTTTTAAGTGTTTCCATTATTTTCGCAATACAGAACTTCTTTTTCTTGTTCTTATATCAATTTGCTGGCTTCTAACCTCACTTACACTGTTTTGATTTGGTGCACAAGTTGAACATTTCCATTCGTTTTTCTTCCGTGATAAAAGCATGAGCATCCGTTATATTGTATCACAGATTTAACATCGAATGATTAGTCCGCCAGGTATGCTGTCACTTATCACTTAATTACTTCCGAGTCCGTATGTACTTTATTCACTGTATTCACTTGTTGAGAGATTGCTTTTAAGGCACTAATTTAATGTTTCTATTAAGACTTTGGAGAACAGGTACACTGATTTTACCTGCACAGGTAGTAAAACTTTGCACTAATTTCGCACTGTATATGAGCGATTTTCTTTTCTTTGAGACTTATTATGGTTTGGTCGTGTCAACAAAAAACAATGTACGTTCCAGGTAACACAGGACTCGCAAAAGAGCGAAGCAAAATCCGGCAACACTACGGCGTTACACGACACAATTTTGGCCACGCAGTTCAGACATATGAACAGGGAGTTAACTCCGACAATTTCCGAGGTTTACCACGAAAGAAATATTGGTTTAGGATTGGCCCCGCCTCTGTCCAAACTGCTTTTAAACCAATCTTCTTCGTCTGCGCCGAAAACCGACAATTCGGTTTTGGAGAAGATTACGTTAGGTGAGCAAAAATATTCGCTTTTGGCAACAATGGCGTCAACTGTTTGTTGCAGGGATTCTGAACGATGAGGATATAAGTAATGAGATCAAGGGTAGCAAATGCCAAAGGTGCGCGGAAAACTGTAACTGTAAAGCCCCGAAGTCCAAACCTTGGATGACCGAGAATGCCAGTGCGTTGCAGCAAATACACAGTTCCGATTTGACGACCGCCGATATTTTGGAGAGGGAGGTCAAAAATAAGAAGGGGTTAAGGTAAATATTGCGAGTTACTACGCTCACAGGCAAAATAATCGATCCACACAAATTTTCGATGAATTTCAATCGCCAATAACTTTTTTATTTGATGCCGGATTTAAACGAATATTAAAGAATATTGTAGATAAATTAATGGACAATCGCTCACATTTTAAAAAATTACTAAAAAATAGACGTACGTTTATAATATACAGGTTTAAACAAAAATATGTTTTTTACCATAAGTTGAAGACACTCTGTAGAGTGGCAAAACCGTATATTGTTCTAAATTAAGTTTTATTTATCAAGTCACATCTATTCTTAACAGTTTTGTTTTTGGTTCACCTCGATATATTTATTTTTGTGGAAAATATGGATTTTTTAAAAAAACATTGCAATTTCCAATATTTTTCTGTATGATGAACTAAGGTTGCTATCCATCCATAGGCTATGAAGAATGACAGTGACAGTTTTGTTGAATCATCCCATACTTGGACATGTCATACACGGCTTTCAAAAGCTATCAAATTGTTTTTTGCAAATTAATGTTTAAATTTTGAGGTGTCTTCTTACTTTAAAAAATGGATATGTCTCCGACTGATGTTGCCAGAGCCATTAATTTAATCCAGGATGGACGGTTACATTATTACGTGGCAAGTGTTTTAAACCTCACAAGAAGTAAAGTACAAAGGGCAACATCAGTCGGAGACATTTTTAAAAGTAAGAAGACACCTCAAAATTAACACATTAATTTACAAAAAACAATTTGATAGCTTTTGAAAGCTGTATATGAAATGTCCAAGTATGGGATGATTTAACAAAACTGTCACTGTCATCCTCCATAGGCTATGGATAGACCATAGCAACCTTAGTTCTTCATGCAGGAAAAATATATATTGGAAATTGCAATGTTTTTTTAAAAAAATCCACATTTTCCACAAAAATAAATATATCAAGGTGAACCAAAAACAAAACTGATAAAAATAGATGTGTCTTGATAAAAAAAAGTTAATTTAGAACAATATACGGTTTTGCCACTCTACAGAGTGTCTTAAACTTATGGTAAAAAACATCTTTTTGTTTAAAACCTGTATATTATAAACGTACGTGTATTTTTTAGTAATTTTTAAAATGTGAGCGATTCTCCATTATAATGGAGAATCGCATTATAATGCATCTACAATATTCTTTAATATTTGTTTAAATCCGACATCAAATAAAAAAGTTATTTGCGATTGAAATTCATCGAAAATTTGTGTGGATCGATTATTTTGCCTATGAGTGTAGTATTTGTTCATTTTATGTTATGCCTTGCAGAATTGTGGAGGCGAGGCCGAAAGAAGACCACCAAGAACCCAAAAGACTGTCTCCTTTTTCCGAGATGTCACGGAGAGATGAGGGAGACGGTAGAAGTATAGCGGATTCATATTCGAGCTACAAAAACACGCAGTTTTTAACTTATCATCCCTCTTCTGATAAGAGCAAACCTGCAAAGCCCAGCGCTAAAATAAGAACGATGCAAAGAAAAAATATGCCGATATAAACTGCACTGATCATTTTTTATGGTCGACTTTATAACTTTTGTAATTGTAAGTAAATTATAAAAATATGTTGTCTCAAACGTGAAAAAATGGATTCATACAATTTATATAATATAAATTGTTTTTTTTGTATAGTGTTTTTCTTTAAAAGGTATTTTTTGAAAATTTTGTGAATTTCTCAAAAATTTAAAATATTACAAATTTGTGTTTTAAAAATTTTGTATTTTTTTTTAAATTTTGGAAATTTTTTAAATTCTTTCCAAACATTCATAAAAAGTTTTGAATGTTTTTTAAGTTTTTAAATACCTATTTTGAAAATTTTTAAAATTGAAAATTTTGAAATTTCCTAAATATTTTAAAAATTTTGCTTATTTTAAAAATTAGGGAAATTTTGTATTTTGAAAATTTTGAAAATTGAAAATTTTGAAATTTACTAAATATTTAAAAAAATTTGCTTATTTTAAAAATTAGGGAAATTTTGTAAGTTTAAAAATTTAGAAATGCTAAAATATTTTAAAATTGTTGAAATTTAGGATATTTTAAAAATTCTTAAAATTTCGGAAAATTTGGAAATTTTAAAAATTCTTAAAAAAAATTTAAAAATCCTTTCCAAACATTTAAAATTCTGAAAGATTCGGATTTTTTAATAAAATTTTTAAATATAAATATAAATTTTAGGAATTATTGAAATTTTTTTAAATTTACTAAATATTTGAAATTTTTGGTTATTTTGAAAATTTTGAATATTTTAAAAATTCTGAAAATTAAGAAATTTTAAAAATTCTTAAAAATAAACTTAAAAATCCTTTCCAAACCTTTAAAATTCTGAAAGTTTCGGATATTTTAATAAAATTTTGATGATTGATATTAAAAAATTTTACTTTTTAAAAATTCTCCAATGGCAAAAACTTCTATATTATGCGTTTTACTGAAAAAAAAATATTTTTAATAAAATTTCCTGCTTATTTAAAAAATTACATTTCTATACAAAATTTCTAAATCAAATGTACACAGAAATGTGCTCAGAAATTACAAAAACATACAAATTCTTCTAGAGAAATATTAATAATATTATTGACAAATTTTATGAGAGAAAGTCGATGACAATTTAAATTAAAGTATAAATACGAAAAATATTTTTTTAATATAAAAATTTTATTTAATTTTATTGGAAAAAAAATTTTTCATTAAATTTTAAAATATTAGTTTTTTAATTTGAATTGTCTTCGATTTTATCTTCAAAAAATGAAATATTTAAATTTTTTCTCAAAATTTTGATATCTATATCTATATATTTTTTAAATATCCAAAATTTTTAAAATATATAAAAATTGTAAAATTTTAACTATTTTTAAAATTTCAGTTTTCAGAATTTAAAAAAAAATAATTATTTAAAAAAAAAATTATAAAACTAAAATTTTAAAAATTTTGAATATTTAAAAAAATTTAGAAAAATTCAAAAATTTCCAAAATCGGCCATTTCAAGCGGATGGACGGGACAAATCACAAAACTGTTTTTATAAAAAAAATTGTAGCTAATTTATTATATATTATTTTTGCATCAAAATTGTAAAAAAAATTCTTCTATTATAAGGGTATACATTAAATTAAAAAAATCGCAAGAAATATTTTATAAAAGTAGAGATAATTTCAATAATTGACAGGGATGGACGGGACAAGATAAATCTTTTTTTTGTCCCGTCCACACCTTTCAATTATTAAAATTATATCTACTTTCATAAAATATTTCTTGAGTTTTTTTTTATTTAATGTATAACCTAATAAAAGAAGAATATTCTTGCCAATTTTGATGCCAAAATATTATATAATAAATAATCTACAATTTTTTTAATAAAAACAGTTTTGTAATTCGTGCGTTTCGCGCGCTTGAAATGGCCGAAATATCAAAATTTTTATTATTTAAATTTTTTTTTTTAATGCGTCCTTTTTAATTTTTTTAATGTTAGGTTTGTGGGTTTTTGGACGGGAAAATAACTTCACGCAAGAATTTTCAAAATATCCAAATTATTCGAAATTTTGAAAACTCACTTCAGCTGTGTATTTTTTTAAATTAACTTACAATTACAATTTAAACAGTTTAAATGGCAGTTTTGTTTTAAAAACTGACCATTTAAAATAAATTTTGCTAAATAAACATAATGTATTATTTTTAAGTCTGATATACGAAAATAAAATTTACAAATGATTAAGACTTTTAGTATTAAGGGAGTTTTTTAAATTACAGTTTTAATTTTTTCCAAGCTTTAATTCAACGGTATTTTATTTTATTTTATTACTTTCAATAATTGTATTGTATTTATTTTTTATGTAATTTATTATTATTATCTATATTATACTTGTGATATGTATACTTACTACAAGGGTTTTAACAACTAATAAAGTAATATTTTTCTTTATACATTGTTTTATTTTTATTAAAAAGTAGAGCCAAAAAAGTTGTGATATAAATACAGTCTTCAATTGAAATCCCTGTATATTATGTACAACTCTGTTGATCTGTTTAATTATTATTAATTGCATAATTTTACTAAGAATAGGTTAATTTGCTTTTCCTACAAAATATCTTATCTCAAATTTACTCCAATTAATTGTAAAAGGCCAAATTGAATGACCCTTTGTGATACAGATGTTTTTATTTACTTACTATATTGCAATGAATTAAGACAAAATGAAGTGCTTAGTTTTTTTATTGGGTATATTTTGTGTACGTTTTGGTGAAGGGGTAAGTTTTTGGGACATTTTTACTAATAATATAAACCATAAGAAATTTTTGTAAAGTTTGCGATTTTTATATATTTTTTTATTCATAGTAAAAACAAAAAAAAACAAAATCCTATATCAATAATTGAACAATAATTCTTGTAATTTTCAAAAAGGCCCTTATTTTTACAAACCTTTTTGTAGACCCAGTAACAAAAGTATTTGTTGGAAATTAAATGAAAAAAATTTTGATAAAAAAAGTTGCTTTATTAATCAATTTCCTGAACAAAAAAATACCTACTTAAATTAAGACAAAAATAACATATGTTGAAGTAGTTTTATAGTCTTATGTTTATTCCCTTTTAGATTTTTAGTCCAGGAGACTCAAATAGAATTCACACGAATGTAAAAACATCTGGTCCAGGAAAATTTATACAATTCCATCACAATTACAGCAAAGTGTATGTAAATCAACCAGCAAACCAAAAAGTTGTACAAAAAACTGTATACGTGACCAAAAATGATGAAAATGACGATGGTATATCACAAAAATTTTACCCTGTTTTCAATGGGCATACTTACGGACAAACCCCTGAAAGAGAATACACGCAAAATGTTAGAGTTTACAATAGACTTAATAATACTAGAGAGGAAAATATACGAAGCCTACAAGATACTTTGGAAAAAATAGGAAATACTAACAATCATCAGGTATGTAATTGGGGTTTTAGAGAAATTCTTACCCTTTATTTTAGACTTTTACAACCACAAAACGCAAGAAAGAAATTTTAAACCAAATTGAGGTTTACTCAAAATGTCCTCCAGAAGTTACAGGACAGTTTGTCTATGATCTATCATGCAATCAATTTTTGAATTGTTTTAAAGGAAGGGGGGCCGTGCAAAATTGCGCACCCGGTACATTATTTAACCCCAAAACATTGGAGTGCGATTTTCCGGAAAAAGTACAGTGCATAACAGGTATAAAACCTTTTAATAAAAAGTAGGTGCAACATTTCTAAATTTACTTGCCATTAATAGTGTAACCATTCCTCCATAGTGGAACCCACGGTTAAAAGTACCTTCACAATTTATTTTTATAGGGCCAGGGCAAAACTCTATAAACATCAAATCGGCTGCTCTTGTTTCTGAGCAAGCAAAATGTCCAGAAAACTTTATAGGTTTGATACCAAACTATAGCGATTGCTCAAAATTTATAAACTGTAATTCCGGAACACAATACACAATGGACTGTCCACCGGGTACCCTATTCGATATCACCAAAAATATATGTGATCATGCACATTTGGCTTTATGTTATAACGGTCAAAACTTCAAGAGGGATACCTCTAAACAGTATGGGCAATATAGTGAGAGTACCTATCACACTACTTATGGTACCCAAGGTGTGTATGGTACTGATTTGGAGCACGGGGAATCACAGAATAAACAAGGATATTCAGTTGGTACAAACAACTGCAATGCAGGAAAATGTAATTATATTTTAAAGTCAAAAGAATGTAATACGAAAAATGTTGTTTTAGGTCAAACTAATTGCAATCAAGGTGGCCAACCTTGTAGTACCAACAACCAATACCAACAAGGAACCCAAACTTATCAGGGTTCCTACAATCAACATAATAACAATCAAGGTACCTACCAACAACATACATACAACAGTGGAACCCAAGGGGGTTATACTGGTACCCAAATACAACCATCTCATGGTTCCACTTCCACATCAAGAAATTATCAAACTATTTGCAATATAAACGACCCTAACTGCATAAAACAAGATAACCATCAAACCAGTGGTACTGTACAATGTGCTCCGGGTTCCAGTGGACTACAAAGACACCCATATATATGCTCGAAATTTTTGAACTGCGCTAATGGCCAAACTTTCGTACAAGACTGTGGACCGGGTACTGTTTTTAATCCTTCCTCGAAAGTGTGTGATTTTCCTTACAATGTAAATTGTCAAGATGGTTCGTCCACATCTACTGGTACCACCCAGGAAAGAGTGGACACATCTGGAACCCAATGGAACCAAAATCAAAACTGGGACCAAACAGCATCGGGTACCTCAAATGTAAAATACGGCACCAATAATCAAGGTGGCACCATTTCAAATTGGAACCAAGAGCAACATTCATACGGTTATAATGGTCAAAATCAAAATTGGGGACAATCTAATAGTGGTGCAACATGGAACAGTAGGCCTGGTACTTCTCAATTTGGCGGTACCGTTACATCTTGTCAAAACCCACCATGTGTTCAAAATACTGGATATGGTACCTCTACAAGTTGGAACCAACAGTCGGCTAATTGCCCCAATGGTAACTGTGGTTCTTATGGTCAAAATACTGGAAATTCTGCATATGGTTCCACCACCAATTGGAACCATCAACAAAATAACTGTCCAAATGGTGTCTGTGGCACACAAGGTACCCCGAATAGTGGTGGTACTGGAAATATTGCTCATGGTACCACTACATCATGGAACCATCAGCAAAATAACTGTCCAAATGGTGTCTGTGGCACACAAGGTACCCCGAATAGTGGTGGTACTGGAAATATTAATCATGGTACCACAACATCATGGAACCATCAGCAAAATAACTGTCCAAATGGTAACTGCGGTACTTATAATAATGGTGGTCCTGGAAATATTGTTCATGGTACTACCACGACTTGGGTTCATAAACAAAATGATTGTCCAAATGGTGACTGTAGTACCCATGGTCAAAATACTGGAAATTCAGGATATAGTACCACCACCAATTGGAACCATCAACAAAATAACTGCCCAAATGGTATCTGTGGTACTCAAGGTACCCCGAATAGTGGTACCACTACATTATGGAATAACTGTCCAAATGGCAACTGTGGTACTCCTAATAGTGGTGGTTCTGGTGCGACCACAACTTGGAACCATAAGCCAAATAATTGTCCAAATGGCGACTGTGGAGTCCAAAATGCAAATAGTGGTACCACAAGTACTGGGAACCAACAGGTAAATCGGCACCATAATATAAACCCTAACTTGAATTGGGGTGATAACCAACACGGTGGTACCAATGGTCAAAGTGTCAAAAGTCAGGAAATACAATACGTATATGGTACCAACACTAATGATGGTTCCAATGGATTACATTGCAGAGGAGGCAATTGTGGACAAAATAAAAACTTTCAAGGTACCCTAATCAGCGAACAAAGGACAGTGGAACCTTTGCATAATGGCGAAAATTATCAAGAACAAGTTAGAGAACCAACGGATGTGGATAATTTTAAACATAAATTAACAACATCAAGACCACAAGCACCTTGGCCACCTAGCTTCCCCGATCCAGTACCATCGACCGATACAAATGCTGATTATGTGTTTGATGACACCAACGCTGACTACGAGGATTTACAAATCCCTGAAACTTTTTATGCAGAGCAGAAAAGTACCACCAAATGTGATAAAAACGACTTTCATTGCACTTCAAACACATGCATATACAGAACTAGTGTTTGCGATGGTGTGATAGATTGTCAAAATGGTAAAGATGAGCAAAATTGTCAGGAATATATGAGCAAATTTGACAAACATACGGAGCAAAAATTGGCAGTTGTAGAGCAACAAAGATGGAACAATGTTAATGCTTCGACTTGTGCTGTTTTATGTCTTGAGAGCGCGAAATTTGAATGTAGATCTTTCAACTACAGGTGAGGACAACTTTTAAATATTTTTGATAGATAACACTATGATAGTTCGATTTACTAACATTGAGTACCTACGCCCACCTATATTACCTAATTTTGGGCTGTTGATTTCAAAAATGCCACTCGTTTTGCTCCAGGACGTCTAGGATTCGAAATAATTGCGTAATAAAATTCTCTGCCCAATTATCTCAAAATGTAAGTTTTTTGTTAATATTTTGATTATTTATAAAATTATTTTGCCTTAAATCTATTTTGGATGTTCAGTATATTTTTACGTTTTTAATTAAAAATATACTCCATACAAAGTCATCGGTAGATAAATGTCAAATAGAAATTTTGTTTGTTCCATTGTAGCCGTATACTATAGTAGTATTTTATAAGGGATATTTAATACAGCACTTTTCTGCAGAGAAGTGCTTTATTAAATACCAAATCTAAAATTATAATGTTTTTTTTGGTAAAAAGTATTATTTTTTGAAATTTTTGTGTCGTTTTTTTAATTACTAATTAAACTAAAAAATAAATGGGTTTCGGTATAAGCATTGCCCTTCGACTATTATTTGATATGTTTTTATTCACATCATGCCTAAAGTACCCTAAAATTTAATCTCGAATCTTATTTATTAAGTCTTATCAAAATTTAATATCGAATTGAAGTATAAAGGCGCCTTTATCTACTTTATCGTTCAAGCACACTAAAGTGCATCTATTAATTATTGCCATTAAAAATTTAAACTTTAAATTGTATTTTTACTTGAAAGTGATTTTAAAAACCAAAAATGAAAAAAGAGCAGGAAATGGAAGTGGTACAGAAAGAGAAAGGAGACGAACATTTATGTCGTCTTTGTAAATTTGTTTTGTTTTTGTTGCGGTACCTTTACGCCCAAGAAAAACCAACGCAATATTTCATTACAAAATTTTATGAGATATACCTACTACTTTAATTTTGCAGGAATATTAAATGGACCTGATATACGACGTTTAATGAAAGATCAAGCATTCAAAAATGCTCTCAAAGTTGACGAGCTTGTCGCATATGGCAGTGTTAAAGCTGTCATTGAAAATGTTCTTGGTTCATATCGGGCCTAAAATTGGCGCCAATTCATTGAAAAAATGCTTTCCGTTTTGCAAAGAATTAGCGTTAATATGTCATTTAAAATACATTTCCTTTTTTTTTTCATCCTGATAAATTTGCCGAATTGATGAACATGGAGAACGATTTCACCAAGTAACTGCAAATCTAGAGCATTGGTAGATATCTATGGGTATAGCGGAAAGAAGTTGGATTCATTGCTAGGAGACATTTGCTGGAATTTGCAGCAAAAGATGTGCGACGATGATGAGGATTAAGCACAATAATACTATAATCCAATTTGATATTTGATTCGATTTAATAAAAATTATGCAATGCATTTTATTACGAAATTATTTTAAATCCTAGACGTCCTAGAGAAAAACGAATTACATTTTTGAAATCAGCGGCCCAAAATTAGTTAAACTAAGCTGGAGTACTCAATGTTAGGAAAAAAAGTTTCTAAAACTATCATAGTGTATCTTTAAAAACCCTTTTTAGAAAAATCGACAGAAGCTGCCATTTATCGGACTCAAACATAGGTTTATCTGGTATGCTGATGCACTACAAACCCTGCGATTATTACGAGCTTAAATCGCAGAAAATAAACTGCCAAAATTTGCACGTCTGCCCAAATGATAAGTGTGTATCGTCCGCACAAATTTGCGACGGTTTTGATGATTGTGGGGATAGAAGTGACGAAAAAAATTGCACAAAAGAAGAGTTGGGGTATGGGGTGAAATTGGCGGGTACAAAACATAAACACAAGGGAAGAGTTGAAGTCTCAGGTGAGATACCTACTTTTTTGTATTACACATGTGCTGCAGCAAACGGAAAAATATAGAAGTGTATTGGATGACGCCACGTTTGAATACAGTTTTCTAAACCCTCACCACGGTATAGATTTGTATTCGTCAGTCGAGCGTTTCAATACTCTCCACAGTTTGACTTTTGAACTAGTATTAATATGAAAATTATTTTATGCTTGAAAAAAAAACTATACACATGATTGTGATTTTTTTCATTTTATTAATTAATTAAGCTGTGTTGAATATTTTTTCTAAAGGAATAATTGCCAATGGGCCATTCATTCATTTGTTCGTAGATGCTACAATAACCTGCACTGGTGTGTACATTTTGATCAGCCTGATTTAAATATTGCTGTACTAACATAAAACTACCAGTGGAGATGTGCAGGGTCTACCAAGAGACCTCATTACTAAATTTTTAAAGTTTAATAGCATATCGATCATTTTTTCAACATAATCTCTGAAATTTTTAATACAAATATAGGTACTATATACTTTACATCATATCCTCTGTGCTTTACATACCTGAGTTGTTACGGTAAATAAAAATCAGACAAAGGAATCAAAGAAAGGAACTACTTTCAACAAAATCATATGCAGAAATGGGAATATTCAAACTACTTGAATCCATCAAAAGATCAAAACTTCTTGCAATATTGAATTACACCCTCTTTTTATACTCTTAGAAATATTGACTAGAACAGTATTAGAGAGACTCCAGTTTCTATAACTTGGTAGAGTAAAGAGAAGTCAAAACCATTGCGATATTGCATTGCGCTGGTTTTGTATAATTCTCAGGGACATTAACGAAAATCATTGCCAGTAAAATTCGAAAAGCTTGAGTTTATATGTCTCTGAAGAGAATAGGAATCCGAAGTTGCTGCACCATTGGACTGAACCCTTTTTCAATAATTTCCACAGACATAAATGACTGCACCATTCGACAGGGTCGAGTTTCTACATCTCTGTTGAATATAGAAAATCAAAATAATGTATCTTGCAAGACACCATTGAGTTTGACTTTAACTATAGACGTGCATAGGTATAGAGCCGAAAAATATAAAAACAAAGCACGATTCAATACAGTTCTGATAAAACTTTAAGATTTAGTATTCAAACGGGGAGTCATCCTATACAATTCTATATTTTTCCGTTTGCTGTGTATACATCGCCACAATGTAATATTTCAGCCTTTGGAAAGATGGGTTACATTTGTGACGATCAGTTCGGAATAAGAGAAGCAAATGTTGTTTGTAAAGAGTTGGGTTACAACCTGGGTGCAGCTGAAGTGAGAGGTAACTCGTACTACGCCAAAGATCTAAAGAAGAACAACACGTTTTATATGATGGACGATGTTGACTGCATTGGGAACGAAACTTCCTTGAAAGACTGCAGTTTTTCTGGTTGGGGACACCATAACTGCTTGGATGGTGAGGTAGCAGGTTTAATTTGTAAAATACCGCAAGAAAAATGCCCAAACAATCATTGGCAATGCAGAACTGGAAATGAATGTGTACCAATAAATTTTGTCTGCGACGGTCTCAATGACTGCTCCGACGATTCAGACGAAGCCATGGAAATTTGTGAGGTAAGTGTGTTTAGCTAGCTTTATATATCTCCACTGTGTTACCAATTTAAAATCCAAAATTTAATTCAATAAAAAAAGTTGTTATAAATATAATTTGAAATAAAATGTACTTAGTTCACAAACTTTTGACTCCAATTTTTTATTTTATTTTTTATTAAAAATTGTATGCTTTTTTTTTAATATGTATGTTCGTTAAGTTACTTTTTAAAAGAAACCATTCCGATTCTTTGTTAAAAAAACAATACCATTAATGTTTTCTTTTAGTCACTGTATTAGTGAATTAAACTCTAATTTATAAATACGTATTACCAAGTGAAAGTGTATAAAAAGTATTTTTTTTAACAAAAACTAAAAAAAGTAACGAAATAGACAACGGACAGGGGTACACAAAAGACTTAATCAGATAACGTAAAAAAGAAACTATATAGGGTGGTACGATTTTAGAGTAATGCATAAACAAAATCCCTTGTAGTGGTGCTCAGTTGCAGAATAACAACTTAGATTTCTAAATTGTAGACACCATTTTTCTTTGACTATAAGCTGGTGAAGGTCCCTTTTAGTACTTTTATATTGCGTGGAATTTTTCCTTGGATGTAATCTATATCATGAGTTGTAATTACAAATAATTTTAAATTGGTTAATCATAAACTACTTTTAATAAAAGCGACGGTAAATATCCACTTTGTTGTCGAAAAATTCTATTGCGTTACCCTAAATTTCTTTGCGTTACCATAAGGTAACATAGTGGACTTGGTAACGCAGTGGACAAAGACATTATAGTCATTAATTACTCTCAATGAGCTTTAGTGCCCTAAAATAAACATAAACATGAAAAATAGTATTTTTTCTTTCCTTATTTTTATTATTTTTTTGAGTAACTTAGCGGACAAACAATTATTACATTCGCGTTACCCGCACCTGTTTCAACCGATATCTTCTTCCTGATTGAATAAATAAATTCAGCTGGGTAATGTGTAGGTACGTCCGAACATCATTTGTTGATCACGTGAGTACCATATATATGTTTTTTTAATATTCTATCGGTAACGCGACGGACGTAACGCAACGGAAAAAAATGTCTGGGACATGAGTCAAATTTAAAAAAAGTAGATTAAAATTAATTAATTTATATATTAACTAAGGATGTTATGGATTGCTATAAAGCAATACAAAGTTCTGGTTATTCAATATTAAAAAAAAAACTTGTATGTAAGTTTTATAAAACGCTAATGGGACATGCGAAAATGTGTGTTTCACAAGTTTCAAAATTAAAAAAAATTATTCTGAAATGACTAAACAAAAATTTTCTGAAAGAGTTTACTAAGGGCTTGTTAGGCTTTCACTTGGTTTTTAAATCAATAAGATCCGATAATTTTTAACAAAGTTATTGGAATTCAAACTTACGGACAGCGGAAGGCGGGTGTTTTTTGAAAACGACCATTCTAGAAATATAAAGCAATATGAAATGTAATACAAAATCTCAATTTACCCCCAACTAAATTTCAAAATATCTCCATAGGCCCCCACGGAAATCCGTCTTGTAGGACCAAGCCAAAGTCAGGGCAGAGTAGAGATAAAACATCATGGAGTGTGGGGTACCATTTGTGATGACGATTTTAACGAAGACGCTGCTAAAGTAATTTGCAAGCAGTTGGGCTTCAAAACTGCATCACAAGTGAAGAAAGAGGGCCTTTACGGAGCAGGTAAGCCATTGGGTACCAAAATGAACGTCAATGTAAAAGTGGTTTTACAGGGAGTGGCCCTATATGGTTGGACCAAGTGTATTGCTACGGAAATGAGACTGGTTTAGAAAATTGTTCTCATTGGAATTGGGGCGAACATAACTGTGATCATACAGAAGATGTTGGGGTGATTTGTAGTAAGATTTCAGGATTTTTTTTGGTGTTTTTATTTATTTTTTGGTGTGTTTTTTAAGGTAATGATGATGTGGACATACTGGAAAAATTTTCCAGAGCTCTATCGACAACAGAAAGAGTTTTACCCATTTACCCAAACACTTGTGGGTATAGAAAGGATAATCAATTTTTGTTGAATGATGACGTTCATTTCAGAGTTGTTCAAGGTTCTTTAGCTAAAGCAGGGGAATATCCATGGCAGGTATGAGTATGAGTATAAGAGTCTTATAACCTAATATTTGGGGCTCTACAAGTTCCTAGGATCTTATGTTTATTTATGTCTCGGTTAGTTTACACACTTTTGTTTATTGGAAAAGGTTTTTTTAGTTGTGGATTTTGTATCTTACTTGATGATTGATTTATTTGTCTTACTCAGCTGTAATCCCGAGAATGCCAGCCATAAGATTTGGGACGGTTTGAGTTTATTGTTTTTTTTTTGTATTGTTTTGTTACTATTATGTTATTATCAATGCTGCTGTTGCTATTTGTTTTAGATTGTTTTTTTTGTCACTAGGGTTGTGCAGTCAATTATAAGAGTACTTATCAAATGTTTGCAGATGATGGCCCTTTCCACTCTTGGTTAGCCTCGTTTGTTCTTCACATAGAATGATTCCTATTGTCAGGTGGTTCGTCCGCCACACAATAATAATGTCTAGAGACATAAATGACTGCACCATTCGACAGGGTCGAGTTTCTACCTCTCTGTTGAATATAGAAAATCAAAATAATGTATCTTGTAAGACACCATTGAGTTTGACTTTAACTATAGTCGTGCATAGGTATAGAGGCGAAAAATATAAAAACAAAGCACGATTCAATACAGTTCTGATAAAACTTTAAGATTTAGTATTCGAATGGGGAGTGATCCTATACACTTCTATATTTTTCGGGATGCTGTAGATACAATGAATAATAGATCGATGCAAATGGTACTCTGAAGGTTCTGGTTACATTATTTTTACTTTTATAACAAACCCACTGCATTATTATAGATTGTGTGATATTTTAGGCCGCCATCAAAGTAAAATCAAACAATAACAAGCCTGCCCATTGGTGTGGGGCTATCATCGTCTCAGAGAGGTTCGTTTTGACAGCTGGGCATTGTTTAATAGGCTACGCGAAAGGTAGGGTTCCGTTTTTTGTGTCATGACTTGTAGCCTGGATGATAAATTTTGTGTTATTTTCACTTTTAGGTGCCTATATAGTTGTGGCTGGCGACTACGATGTGGACGAAGTCGAAGGTACAGAACAAACTGATTTTATCGAGGAATTTTACATTCACAAGGAATTTAGAAAAGGGCACAAGATGAATAACGATATAGCTTTGGTGAAACTCAAAAAAGGCTTCAAATTGAACCAAAACGTTCAGCCGTTGTGCTTGCCAGATGAGGATTTAGTATACGACTCCAATTTGAATTGCACCATATCAGGATTTGGTTCCACACAAACTGGCAAGTCAGGTAAGAACGAAAATTTTTTTAAATCAAAAGTAATTGAGCCCTCTACAACTTTCTCTTGTATAGTTTTGGTATCGGCTCAGTAGTTCGATACTGGCGATTTTATGAAGTTAAAAAGTCCTTTTTTTTTACAAAAATCGAGGTCTAAACTTTACATATCTTTCTGGGAAAGATAGAAATCATAAGGATAAGTCCAGTTTGATTTATTTTACGTATAGATTATACTTAAAGGAAAAAAATAAGCTGCTGTTTATAAAAATCCATGGATAAATGGCGAAGTTATGAATTTTTCAGTGAAGGACCAAAATTCAGTTTTTCGAATTTTTTTCGTTTTTTCTTCATTTTATCGAATTATATAAAATTTAATATTGAACATTGATTTTTATTTTAAACATTAAATATTGAAATTTAATTATATTGAATATTAAAAAAATTCTGGCTCCTTTGTTTTTTGTTGCTTTTGTATTCCGTTTCTCGTATGAGGGACCAAATGTAATCACCCATCATGGCTGCATCCCAGAAGCCGTGATACCGCCGCTCCATAGCTTCATTTGCTGGTGAAAACGTTTTCCGTGCTCATCACTTACGTCGCCCAGATTGTGCGGGTTATTTACGCACTCGAACTCTCTACTTCTTTTACTCATTTTACACTTTTATTAACTAAATAAAACCGTGATAAAAATACCTTGTTGAAATATCAAAAAATATCAGTAAAATATCACTATGCCAACACGAGAAACAAAAGAATTCACGTTTGTGGAGTCATGTCAAATTTAAATTTTGAATAATGTTGTCGGTGAAAAAAGAACGTAAAAAACTCAAAAAATTCCAATCATGCACTTTATTAAGGTTTTCATTGAAAAATAAACATATTACAAAATAAAAGAAAAAAAATAAAATAAAAAACGTCAAAAAACTGAATTTTGGTCTTCCACTAAAAAATTCATAACTTCGCCATTTTTCCATGTATTTTTATCAACATTAGCTTGTTTTTTTTATAAAAATGTCAGCTTCACGAAAAAAAAATCAAACTGGAGTTATCTGTTTGATTTAAACCTTTCCCAGGACGATATGTAAATTTTTGCAATAAAAACGAATTTTTTAAGTTATTAAAATCGCTAGCGTCAAAAAAGAAAGGTTTAGAGGGCTCAAATACCTTTAATTTAAGGGCTTGTTTGACCAAATCGATTAATTAGATTTCAAGCTATACTCAAAAACGTCATAACACCTCCGAAAATTGAAAAAAAACAATTGAAAATTTATTGATAAAATAAATACTAATCCCGGTTTTATACAAAAAATTATGTTAAAATTTTACAAAATAAAATGAACAAACCTAATAAATCTGACGCGTTACCAAGGCCCTAATATATTGCAGCATATTCTCATAACTTAAGAGCTGGTTGGATACCCATCCAATCGGATGAGGTTTGTAAAATGCCCCACGTTTATGGTAAAAATATTATGGATGGTATGTTCTGCGCTGGCTTTTTGGAGGAAGGGGTGGATGCCTGTGATGGTGACAGTGGAGGACCTTTGGCCTGTCTAAAAGACGGTAAGTCACTTTTTTTAATATCCACATTTTTTTTGTATAAGGGTTAAATTAAAAAAAAAATAAACGGTGATATCAGACATTTATAAGATGTCTTTAGAACATTAAATGAAGATATCTTCAATACGTCTATAAAAAGACGTCTTTCAGACATCTTTTGTAGATCTTCAGACGTTCATGCATAATACAGACATACAAAAGACATCATCAAGACTTTGTGTGCTATCTGGGTTGTCCATAACATTTCTTATTAAAAAAAATAATAAATTGAGACAACTAATTTAGAACTAGATTTATAAATAAGAACTTAAAATAACAAAAATTTTACCTTTAAATATAAAAATATTTGTAATGTCCTAATTAAGGTTGAAAGTTACCTTCGCACTCTATAACCCCATGTCCCCCCAAAATGTATGAAAATTTATATTTTTAAGAGAAAATAAAAAATTAATTAATTTTTTGGTTTGCCCCCCCCAATTTTCTCTGGATTCGTCCCTGGTAGCCGTATCACATTTTTAATATATTTTTATAGGCCTTTTTACTCTATATGGAATAACATCCTGGGGACAGCACTGTGGTTATGCCAATAAACCGGGTGTTTACGTCAAAGTGGCATATTACAGGAAATGGATAGATGAAACATTAAGAAAACATTCATAAATAAATCATTTGTTTAATATTTTGTATTATTTATGTTATTGGTTAATAATTTATAATAATAAAAAAAATACTTAATAAGCTGTATTTTCAACACCCTGTATATCAAATTTTAAAAACTTCCCTTGTACATAGGGTGGTATATAACACCCTTTTCAAAAGAAGTTTAATTAAAGCAAAGATTAAATCTGTACCATGTCACTTCAACATGACAGTCACATAAGGTTCATTCCAAATGAATTAAATCAGCTGTATTATTGCTTTTTCCAATAAGGGTAAATCCCAATAAACATGGGAATGATTCATACCTATGTTTACTTGGGTGTCTACAAAAGTCAGTTAAAATTTGAAACAAGTTTTTTGTTATAAAACTAGTGGGAGTTATGTTAAAAACAGTCTTATAAAAACTGACGTTTGACGTTTCATCTTGTTCTAAGCGTTTCATAGAAAATACGCGATTTTCTAAAATATACCTACTGTAATGAATGTAAACAACATTATAAATACCTTTATTTAAACAAAATCCTGAAGTCAATTTAAAATTTGTATAGTTCCATTACATTAAGCACATTTTCATTAACAAATCTTAAAAAACATGTAATTACAGCAAATATTTACAAATCTAGGACTGTCAAAATCAAACATTTGAACACAGAACATATTTGAAATTGTTCAAAATAAAAAACATAAACAAACCCAAAGTCAAACTTACACCACAACCAAAAAAAAAACCCTTAATAATAATCCATTTAAATCTAAAAAACTAACTGCAAAAATAAATATAATTATTAATAAAAAATTATAGTAATAAACTAATAACATCAAAAGCATTTTTTAATATAAAGTAACGGTAAATTAAGGTTTTATATGATATTTTATTGTTGTTTTGCCTTTGTGTAACCGGCTTTATAAAGATTATTTCAATAGGCGCGGCATTGCCAGATTTAATGGTTGTTGGAAAAGTAGGGGAAATATTTTGAATTTAAAACTTGTTTTTAAACTGCTTAAATATTTATTTATGTGTCGAATTTATTGTTTATGGCAAGATTTTTATTTATATTTCAAATATTTAGATATAATATGTTATATTTTTTTTGCGAATAGCATTTTTTGCCAAAATATTAGATATTTTTTTAGTAAAACAATTCTAAATTTGCAGATAATAAAAACAATAAATGTATTATTAAATAGGTAAAATTTACACATTTTTATTCATAATTTACGAAATACAACAGAAAACAACAAAAACATGAATTAGGCTTGTTCGCAACCCTTCCAATAACTAAAATAGAGTACACCGGTACATTTTTTATTTGTTTAAAAATAAAGCAGTAAAATCAGGAAAATTGTCTGTATATGATTCATATTTTAAAAACCATTAATTTTTAACAGTAACTTAATTTTACCCCATTTATCCTATTTTTTTCGGAGATAACCTCAATTATTTGAATTCAAATGGCAAAGTGGGACTTACTATTAATAATAATAATGATAATGATAATGATAATGATAATGATAATGATAATGATAATGATAATGATAATGATAATGATAATGATAATGATAATGATAATGATAATGATAATAATAATGATAATAATAATATTAATAATAACAATAATAATAGTAATACTCACACCCAAAGTCTCACCTTGGCATCTTATTACCAATAATTGAGGTTATCCATCTCAAAATTAACGCTAAATTTGTCATTTTCTCTGAAACTAGTGCAATATCCGTATTTTTTATGTTCTAAATTAATTAGCGTTAAACTGACAGCTAGATAACATCAATTATTAGTATTCAAATGTCAAGGTATATTTGTTGTAGAACTATACTTCAACTAGTGTACTGTACAGTAGGGTAGTTAGTGTGGCATTGCGAACAAACCTACAATTTGACGTTTCATCCCTCCGTACGGCGTAAATCTGACAACAACGCTCGGAGTTCAGTGTTCTTCGGTGAGATGCTGTGTAAATCGGATTTTACTGAAACCACTTTGTACCGTGAAGCGCGTCGACAGGCTCCGCCAAATTATCGTTAAAAAACTGAATTTTTTCACTAAAAAACACCGTGAAAATCGACGAGACAGTGCAACAGTGCTTTGCAAGGGTGACTGGATCGTTTCTGTGCTTTGGAAACGTCAACTTTCCTAGTGATTTTGTTTTGTTTCCGAGCGAAGGAATTTCGTGTTTTTTGCCGTGTTTTGACTTAAAAAACTAGTTTTCGAGTGGTTTTTGTATTGTTTGTTGTGTATTTTAGTGATTTTAAGAAGATTTCACTGGGTTTTAGTTGGAAAAATGTGATTAAACGAGTTTTTTACGAGGTAATTATATGACATTTATTTTGTTTATAAAAACGCTATAACCATGTAAACAAATGTACAGACAAAGAGTTTACTGTCAAATTAACTCGCATAGTAGCAATTGATGTTATATTTTATGTTATTTGTGCATTAATAACAATATTATAGGTAAATATAATGTCAAAATGGCCGCTCTACACTGATACCTATGTGTAAAAACTTTCAAGGTGTGTATAAGAATTCTTGAACCGTTTCTGTAATTAAAATGTGACAATTAATATGCAAAGTGCTGTGCATCATGTATATTACATTCTTAATCATTAAGGGGGTTATTAAGGGTGGTACCTAACCGTATTTTTTCTGGTAGTGTCAGATTTTTTTATTGCACGCCGCTGGTCAATGTGGTAATTAAATTAGATTCCTTGGTATTAAGCTAAATTTTTGCCGTTTGAGTTTTTTCCGTATCAAGATTTCATCAAAATAAACGTAAATACCGCATTCTAAAGCAACATAAAGCACAATTTCCATTTTAAATCCCACTAATTCTGTTATTGTTCTCATGTATTAAATAAAAACAATTCGAAAATTTTAATAACCTTTAATACCATAAATTCGCCAGCAACACAAAAGCCAAATTATTCGTTTTCTTTAATCTTTTTTGTCTGAATTTCTAGTTTTAATCCTTCTATTGTTTGTGTAATTAAAAATAAACAAAATTTGGTCCCGAATGTTTTAACTCAACTAATTTTTCAACAAAGTAATGTTTTATTTAAAATTGTATCTGACATTTGACAACTGTCAAGCGGTTTTAACCTCAATTTTACCAATAGATAAATACTAAAAAACATTTTCAGGTTTGACGATAAAAACCAACGTCTCTAAATGTATACGGGGCAACTAAAAATGAGTTACGGGTACTTTGGCACGCTCTTATCGGGCAAAATAATCTCGAATTGCTCCTATTAACGCGTGCAATCAAAATTTTATGACTCAATAAGCTAAACAATGCGCAATTATTGTTTGCTAATGATTCGCGGAATTAGATTTTCTTATCCATTGGAGATTTACAACTCAATTTGATCATATCGAAATTTTCGACCCAACCCAACTTTATCTGCAAAATATACAGGGTGTTATGTAGTTGTAAAAAATTGTTGCCAACAATTTTTCTTGCAAAAAATAAATAAAAACTCAATAAATACAAAAGTTTTATGCCCTTAAAGCTCTAATACCCTTCTGTATTTATTTACTCATCCAGCTATTAGCAATGATTAGAAAATTTGTTACCTATTTTAAAAACTTCATAACCACAAAATTAATTTTTTCGTCGGTTTTTTCTTTCTGTTTACTCAGATGAAATTGGGTTGAACTTTAAACATTCAATTTGTGTAAATAAATCCAAAAGCACTTCCCTTAGTTCAGATGTTTACAATTTGGGCCCATAACCTAAAATTTGAAAGAAATGCACTAGATTCTGTCATAGAAGTTGCCAAATTTTGTTTTTCATTACAAAGATGACATAATCAACGATTAATAAAAACGCCAAATTAACAATTTTTGATTTTTTGTCATTTTGTAATTTAGCTAAATTTAAACAAAATTTGGCAACTTTTTTGACAGAATCTGGAAACGCTGCTTGTTACCAACCATAACATAATAAATTAAATTAGGCAACCAGATTACCCTAAAGTTCCTAGTCGATCAGTGGCGTACTTTTTTGTAGGATAAATTATTAAAAAAAAAAAAATACCATTTTTTTTTGTGAAAAGCGATGATGAATGTACAATACAATACAATACAGTACAATACAATACCAAAAACAATATTTGAGTTACGTTTTTCTTCTAAATCGACAAAAAAAAGTTTCGAAGAATATTTTTCGACTGCCTCGTATAAAAGCGTGGTACTCTGGAACGCATCGAAGTGAATTAAAATAAATTCACCGGTGCTTTCACTATGCGACGGCGGTGTAAAACAGGTTTGGAAACGCCACATGAGCCTTATCTCAGACCCAAATACTAAGGAAGGTCTTTAATAAAATCAACTAAAAATATTGTCTCACCAAATATGGTCTTTGTTGAACGTTTTTGTTTTTGTGGAATATATAAAAATATGTTGTTACATATCGTTGAAAAGTCTACATATACAGGGTGTTTCATAATATATGCGCAGGACTTCAGGATTTGATAGCTCATCCAAAAAGATGAAAAAGTCGCTATTAACTTACCCTCTAAAATGCACAATTTTCGAGATACAGGGTGTTGAAATTTTAGAAAAAAAATCGTTTTTTTCGAATATCTCCGGAACCGTTTATCGTACAAAAAACAGCTTTTGAAAGCATTTTCTACTCATAATAAGCTATATTTTGTGCCAGAAAACATTTTTTTTTACTCATAATTGGTGGAGATTTTGAAGGGGTAGCGGGTGTTTTTCTCCTCAACTTCTACGCCCCTGAAAAAAGTTATTTTTGAGAAGGCCATTCGAACCGCCAATGTTTTCTATACAAAAAAGGTACTTTTGGTCATAAGCTCAAAGTTGACCGTTTTCGAGAAAAATCAACTTTTATGTTTAAAAACATGGTCAATTTAAAAAAAAAAAAATTTTTACCAATTAAGTATACAAAATTTATTTTAACGTTAGAACAAGTAACAAAACCAAACGATAATTGCAAAATTAAAAAAAATAATAAAAAATGATTCAAAAGTTGTCTTTGCAAAATTCTCCAAACCGTAAAGGTAACG